GAGAACTCACGTGCAGAAAGGTAAATGAGCCTCCCCACCCCACTCCCCCACAAAAACAAAACAACAAAGAAAACCACAAGTGTTCTGTGAAACTACATTCAAAGATCTTAACATGAGTGAGAATGCTTCATGAGAGCATGAGGGACGGCCGGTGGTAGACGGCAAGACCGGACGGAGCGTACAGAGCGGACACGGAGGGAGGGACGGGCCCTCACACAGCACTTAAGGGCAGACGCTTACTTCCTGTGCCCATCAGCTCCTGTGAGGACTCACTGTTTAGAGAGCTGAGACATATTTTACATTTGGCAGAGTAATAATGTGATATTAAAAGGAGTATGAAAAGAATTCATTCTCTGATAACGCTATCAATTGTGATACATTTTTGTATTTCAAAGAAAGATTCATAACTCAGACTTGAAAAAATAAAACACCCTGGGAATTAAAGTTTGTGATGAGAAATGTTTTAAAGTACAGCACTAAGAGCTGTATCCACAGTGAAAATTAAATACACGGATCTAATTCTTAGATGCAAACCTAAATCACAAAGCACTTCACCGAATTCCGGGGCGGGGGGCGGGGAGGAGAAGAAGCTCAATGCCAAGAGCTAAAGCAGTATTTTCCAAAAACATCAAACATAAGGATACTTTTCTTATGATATTTACTACTTTGACATTCAAATCTTTGTCTTAAAAACTGTTTATTCAATTCTCTCAATAAAATTCACCAACAGGAAATAAAAATATTAGTTCTCCTACTATATCACGCATAGCCTAGAATAACATATTTTCATCTAAGATTTGAATTTTTCAAACAATCTTAAGTAATTCTATGAAAAACAGGTTTAATATTAGGTTGCCTAAGACTTCTCTGATTTTTAACTAAAAAACTGGAGGCATTTCCACCTAATACAATTTCTAGATGTACTAGTTCTAAATTAAGAATTTCTGAAGTTTTCATAAAATTGTCAAACAAAATGGATTTTTAAGAAAGTAAAGCTTACCACTGTTGGGGAAGAGCAGGAAGAACCTTAGCATTAATACCAACTAGATACTAATTCCTTAAAATATGGAAATTTAGTGGTACTTGTACTGACTGCCTTTTTTACTCTTTAGTCAGATGGGTAGAGCTGAATTTCTGTACACTTAAGTGAGCGTGATGTAATTCTCCAGAGCAAATTCACATATGTATCATTGAAAACAACAAGTAAAAAACTAAATTACATACCCCTTCTCCAAACTATTCATTTTATATAGGGTTCATCATGGAGTCTGAGTCAGTAGATGTCCTTGGCACACAAAAGGATGTGAATTACAGAAATGTACTAAGCAAAGTGAAGTTCACTGCAATCCTGTCTTTCCCCGGCCTAAGCTCCTTTAACGAATCCCCACTTCTCCTAGGATAGGTGGAGTTCTTGCTGACAGCTTCAGGAGTCCCTGATCTATGTCTGCAGATCAGCTTCTGTACAGAGTCCTACTCGCCCTGTGCCCAATAGAGATGGCCTAGCCCTGGGCCTTGTGCACACGAAGTGCAGATAAACAGCGGTTAAATAAGTGACACAGAAAATTAATACTGAGAGATCTTGCTCCAAGACTGCAGTGAACTTCACTTTGCTCAACAGATCAGTGTAATTCACATCTGTTTGTGTGCCAAGGAAGACTACTGATTCGAACAGACTCCATGATGATTCCAAAATTAGGCTTCCTAACGTGAATGTTTTATCAGTCTGGGGGTCATCTTACAAAGCAAAATTCAGTTTAGCGAAAGTAACAGGCAGACCCCAGGGCAAACTGCCATCAGTAAGAAATCTCCAAGGGTCTTTGTTAAAACACAGCAATACTATCCCCACTAGTTTTATAATTTTACTCGGCCAAAACTGGCTTCACTGAACTATGCTAGTCTGTTTTATGGTTTAGGACCAGCACTAGGCAGAAGCACTTGGCATGAAGGAGAAACTCACATGCTCACAGAACTACATTTACACTGACAGCAACCAAGTTCAACCTAGTAGAAAAGGAAAAAACAATAATAAAGATCTGGTCTATGTAAAATAACAGGAGATGGCCCAGAGCTGGTCCCCCTTCTTAACGATATTTTAGTGCACTTTTTAAAACATACTACCTCTTGTGTGTTTTTAAAAAAAAGAAATCTTTCTACATCATCTCTACGCCCAACGTGGGGCTCCAACTCACAACCCCAAGAGCAAAAGCTGCATGCTCCACTGCCTGAGCCAGCCGGGTGCCCCCAGCTCGCGTCTGTTCTTTAAAAATAGATTCCACATCTGATCACCTTCTTTAAGGAAGACCGAGTACAGAAATAAGTAGAGCACTGTACTTTTAAGACCACAGGTACACTGTAACCACAGGTTAAGATCCAGTATTTGGGACTTAACAAAAGGTACAAGACGTGTAAGACACCGACAGACAAGCGAGCTAAAGAGAGTCTCCTACCGTAGCACAAACGTAACTCCTGTGTAGCCCAGCCACTTCCTGCCACCCATACATATTGCCCATCTCAAAAATAACAACAAAACCAGACATCACACCTTGCAGAAAACTTTTCCAAAAGCAGTTCAACAGTATTTACTATCCCCAGAGTACCACAGAACTTAAAAATAAGTTCACAATTTCAGGGTGCGTGGCTGGCTCCATCAGTGGAGTGTGTAACTTGGTCTCAGAGTTGTGCGTTCGAGCCCCACGCTGTGGGTAGAGACTACTTAAACATAAAATTAAAAGGAAAAAAAAAACAACAACAGCAAGTTCAATTTCTCAAAGAAATATTCTTTTAGGGGCGCCAGGGTAGCTCAGCAAGTTAAGCATCTGACTCTGGATTTCAGCTAAGGTCATGATCTCAGGGTCGTGGGATTGAGCCCCTGTGTCAGACTCTGTGCTCAGTGGGGAGTCTGCTACTCTCTCTCTCTCTCCCCCTTTGCCCACCCTGCTCATGCTCTCTAAAATAAATAAATCTTTAAAAAAAGAGAAAGAAAGAAAAGAAATTTTCTTTTATGATCCCCTTATCCTCCAGTATTATGCAGTTTGCTTCTTCTAGGATTAGATAAAATTGTATTTGCAGAATGGAAAAATAGAAGTAGATGAAAATTACAAATGACTATCTAATTTTATATTAGTAAACACATTTTTATAAAAATATCAAGTACATACAACACTGCTTTGTTTTTCTTAAACTACAATTGGTTTTCACATCAAATTTTATCTCTATAATGCAAACAAAACACAAAAACATGGGCGCCTGGGTGGCTCAGTTGGTTAAGCGACTGCCTTCGGCTCAGGTCATGATCCTGGAGTCCCGGGATCGAGTCCCGCATCGGGCTCCCTGCTCAGCGGGGGATCTGCTTCTCCCTCTGACCCTCTCCCCTCTCGTGCTCTCTGTCTCTCATTCTCTCTCTCAAATAAATAAATAAAATCTTTAAAAAAAAAAAAAAAAAAAACACTAAAACAAGTCTAATAATGATTATAACACAGCTGCTTACATTTCTGAAAAACAGCAAAAAGTACTTAAAATATTAGAACTTTATAGTAACTAGCGGTTAAACTACTTCACCAGAAAAAACGTATCTAACAACTAAATCACGTGTGCTTATCATTGGACCATGCAATTAATAAACCCTCACTGTTATAACAAGTGCTTTGAACAGAGAACTGTACTCAATAAATACCACTTAATTTAAAAAACCTAGTTTTTAGTACTTCGTAAGTAACTTAAAGGAAAAATTAGTCAATATGGGGGAATAAAACCATTAAGAATCAGTTTTAGAAAACATTATAATTCATAAATAACTACAAATCAAAGACGTTTCTAAAAAATATTCTGAACTTTAAGTCCAATACTGATTTTATTTTTGAATAATCTTCTGACTATACACCTAGAGCCTTCATTAAAACTTTTTTGATGAACGCCTTATAATAAATAAGCTATCTACTTAAGTGTCAAAGTTAGGGTCAAATAGTCTTTTAGATATTTTCTGAAATCAGAGATTATTCAGTCTCAACAAAACTTTATCTGTTTTACATAAAAATGATACTAAAATTTTATGATCTGGTCCATTTTTTTTTTCAACACTATAAAAAGAACATGTCCTCACTGATTTAACGCAACCAAGAACTAGTAACAAATCCAACCCAAAACTCAAAAAAAAAAAAAAATTTATTTAAACAGATAAAATTATTTAACAGACATTTTTCTTCTAGTTAAAATGTATTAGAAGAATGGATAAACTTAAGGAAAGCATACCAAAGTATGGAGAGGGGAGAATCTGTACTTTCTTATAAAGATACTTCAAAGAGAAAACCTTCATTTTAAACTATAAAACCAATAGCTCATTAAGACTTTTGAAGTTTGGTTGTCTGCTTTTGTTTTTAAGCAAGTAGAGATCACTTTTTTTTTTTTTTAAAGATTTATTTATTTATTTGAGAGAGGCATGCATGAGCAACCGGGGGGGGGGGGGGGGGGGGGGGCAAGGCAAGGGAGAAAGAATCCTAAGGCTGAGTGTGGAGCCCAATACAGGGGCTCAATCCCAGGACCCGGAGATCATGACCTGAGCTGAAACCAGGAGTCGGAGGCTTAACTGACTGTGCCACCCAGGCACCCCGAGAATTCATTATTATTCCCTAGATTTTCACACACATACCCACACGTACACAAATTCACATGTGCATGCGTGCACGCACACATGATAATAAAGCAAGCCCCTTTCTCACTTAACGTACGGCAATAATGAAATCAAAATTCATACTCTTTAAGATGAAAGGCACTGTATGATGATCCTGATTCAACACACTTACAGTTAAACAAAATTAATTCCATTCTCAAAAATCCATTGACCTTAAGCTTTTAACAAACATTTTCCACTGCAAAAATTATTGTCAATATTTACAAATCTTTAAACTTATATTTAGTTGGAACCACTTGTATTTGCTGTATTAATATTTCTTAGTAAATGTATGCTCAATCCTATCAGAGCAGAAGGAGCAGCTGCTACTCACTGGGAATCTCTGGGGCCCCACAGCAGGTCTCGGCTGGCTCGGGACTGGCAGCAAGGGCACTAGGAAGAAAACACCTCTGGTTACCAACACCGTTTACTTCACAAACAAACCCACTGAGAAAGGAATACAGTATGTTAAGTTTAATAAAAAATATATACCCTGTGTAAAATACATGTAATATATTAAGTTTACACTTAACCTAAATCCCATACAAGGGAAGGGGAGAGCAGAAGGCTTGCCAGCATACAACGGCATACGCAGAAGCTGGAATTTCAGCAGGGAATTCCTATTTAGAACTAAAATGTTTTGCAATAAAAAAAGAGCTTACTCCTCTAAAATAAAAAATGGCCTTGTGTTTCACATCCATCACCCCGTTATCCAGACTATCTACTCCAGTTACGGTTTCTGACTCCAATCAAATACAAATGTAAATCTAAATCCTCTAGAATCATGGGGGGGGGGGGGGTGGGGAGGGAGGAAAACACACATACCCATGGTAGTGTTACAAAGAACAATCTACTATGCCAAGACTTTCAGTTTGGTTTTGTTGTTTTTAAACAAGCAGAACTCCAATCCATCTACCGGAAGAACACGAAATCATAATTTTATTTTATTTTATTATTTTTTTTAAGATTTTATTTATTTATTTGACAGAGAGATAGTACAAGTAGGCAGAGAGGCAGGCAGAGGGAGAGGGAGAAGCAGGTTTCCCGCTGAGCAGGGAGCCCAACGTGGGGCTCAATCCCAGAACCCTGGGATCATGACCTGAGCCGAAGGCAGCCGCTTAACCGACTGAGCCACCCAGGCGCCCCAGAACACAAAATCATAATTTTAAAAAACAGACACTTTATAGTAAGGAAGAAGCCACATGTTAGTTTTATACCCTGGGGCTAAATAAGGTATGCTCAAGCTACTTAAAACATATGCATTGTACTGATCTAGATTTTGGAGGAAAAAAAAAACAAAAACAAAAACAAACCACCACCCACCTAGGGACTGCTACACGGTGCTACGTGGTTATCTTTCATTAAAATGTGCTGCCAGATGCATGTAGTAAGCTCTCAGGTGGTCAGGTGTTACGGGCTGAACTGAAGCCCCCTCCCAAATGTGTATGCTGAAGTCCCAACCCCCAGTCCCTCAGAACAGGACTGGATTTGGGCTATGGACCTTCAAAGAGGTGATATCAGTAAAATGAGGTCATGTGTGAGGTCTTGTGAAGTGGAGAAAGAAACAATTAGAGTATCTCTGACCTCAAAAGATTATAACGAAAGCGAAAGAGAAATAAACTACGTATTAAACAATATAAAGGTGATGGTTTTTAAATTAAGTACCAAATATAAAGTACCCAAACCTTCAAGACTATGTGCCACTAATTTTTAAACTTGGCATTTAAACATCAATTCCTGTCAGAAACCTCAAATACAACAAAAAGATTAAAAAAAAAAAAATAGGTCTCTTTAACTGGGGGGAATGAGAACAAGAAAGCTAGGAGAGATCTCTGGGAAGGAATCTGATTATAATTAACAGATTTCTTACACAGAAGCCTCTGGTTAGTTGGCCTGCTTTTCTTTCTTTTTTTTTTAAAAGTAAACTGTAAAAAGCAACCAAAAAGAAAAGAAGGGAAAAAGAACAAAAGTTGACAAACGAGAGCACCTAAGGACAGTGTGAGAGGGGCAGATCAGAAATCCAGCCGGGAGAGAGGGCCTCGGTCAGACTGCCAAGGCCTCTGCAAGTGTCCCTCGGGAGCTCTGCAGTCTCCCGGGCTCGTGAGCAGGGGACACTTCCAACTAGCTGCCTTCCTCTGTGCTGTGAGCAGAAGAATCTGATACTTGTAACACACCATTCTAGCTGAACTCTGTACTCAGAATATTTGATATTTAACATTTATCTTTCTGTTGCTCCGTGTATTTAATGGACTAAACTGAGTAAGTTTTTAACTCATTACAACAGTTTAATAGGGAAGAATCCAGAAAACAAGTTAAATTTCCATCAAAACTGGTTAATTATAATATGATGGAACCCTCTTCATCCCTGAAAATGTGTGCCATCGAGAAGAGATGTGCTTACGCTGCTACTTTTTTAAAAACATTTTCATGTACCTTTCAATGGCCTGTGGCTCTGAGACCCTGGGGTCTCAGATGCCCTATGCACAGGAGACACGCAGACACCGGCAGCCTCCCTCAGGAAGAACTCGCTCGTTTACTACGGACACTCGACTCTTCAATGGCGCCCTGCGTGTGTGCCCAGCCAGGACAGGGCTGAGCTCTCTCCCCGCATCAGCCTAGCTCAAGATCAAAGGTACGCTAACGAGAAGGAACGGGGGCTCTATAGCAGCCAGCTTCATGGTGCAAAATCATTTAGCAGGTTCGAAGAGTGTAAAAACTACCGTCAGAAAGCTGATCTTACATTTGCTGAACGATGAGCTTTGTGGCGCAAGGCCTGCATTCTGTATCTGTCAGGCTGCTGACTTTTTGGCAAGGCACACTGTTCTCGTATCTAGAAGACGTCCTGGGGTTTCCTTGGAGCTTTCCCACTCCGGACTTCTAATACTGTTTGTTTGTATTAGGCTGCAGGAAGTCTGCGCGCCCTCCCAACTGCAGTTTTCCACTCAGTGTTTATGAGGAAATACCCAGTAACAGATGCTGACCTCAGTAAAATTCCTCTGAAAACCGACACCGACTGCAGGTGCCCGTGCTGGGAAGCCACCGTGGCAAGGGCCCCTCTAATGTGGGGGTTCGTGCATCCCGCAGCTGCTGCCGGAGACACAGGCCGGGCGCCAGTCACAGGACGACGGCAGGCAGCGCGGCAGCCGCAGCGCGAGCCTCAGGAGCGCAGAGCCCGGCGGAGGACGAGGCCAGCAAGAGAGTCCAGGAGGAGGTGGGGACAGGCGGAGCCTGCCGGGGGGTCGGGACCCACTCTGACTCTGCCTCCCAGGTGTGTAGAACAGGAGCGGTCTCCCGGAACACGCCCGAGGCCAGCGGAACACGCCGAGGCCTGTTAGCGGACAGAGAGACTGCAGAGCAAGGGCCTGGGGTCGGCTGTGTAACTTGGGAGACGAGGTGGGACTTGGCGCAGGTGTCAGAGTGGTGATGTGAAGGAGGCTGCAGAGCCAGGGATGCCACCACGCTCGCGGCTGTGCTCCGAGGGCCTCCGCCCACACTCCCAGTCCCACCTCCGGCCTCTCCCCAGCTTCTGCAACTACGGGATGCCAGGTTCAGTGTCAGCGGAGCCCATGGGGGCCTCAGCCACCCCTTCTTGCTCAAACGGAAGCCGAACGCTCCCAGAGATGAGGCTGTTTTCCTCCTGCCGGCTCTGCAGGTGGGGCGGAGGCCCTCAGGGCTGGCAGTGCTGTTTCAGACCCCAGCTCCGGCTCTCCGTCACCTGATGGGTCACGCCTACCCCCAGCGGCTGTCGGGCCACTGGCCCAACTGCGGCTCTCGCGCCCCAGAGTTCAGCTCCTGTCTGACCACTGTCTCCAGCCCTGTCTTTTAGCCTTGACAGAGACCATGCTTCCCGAACCCGGCCTCCTGGGTCCCCGACTACCGTCCTCCATCCCTCTGCGGCCACATCCAAGACCTGGTCGTCGTCAGTGACCCACGTTTCCGCAATCTCTACGCAGCTCCCTTCGACCTCACCACCTCACTCTCCCCCAGTGACCGCTCCTCCTTTTCACCCGTGACAAGCAACGCCACCCTCTACTGCTGTCAACACCTGGATTCTGGCAAATGCAAAACTGTGTCCATGCCACATCCCCACGCTGTGATCTGATGCCAAGTTCACCACCACACAGCTCAAGGGGGCTTCAACACAGCCTACTGTCCCCCGCCAGCCCATCCGCTCCTCTACTCCCCTAGACGGAGACTCCTTAAACTCCTCCAGTCACAGCCCGTTTTGCTCAGAGGAAAAGCCACGGCTCTTAGAAGGGCTTGAGGTCTTACGTGACGCGGGTCCCATGGTTCCTCTCTGCTCTTATCATTCCACTTATGTCACGTCATCGCTTTTTGGTTTCTGGAACACCCAAGGCATGGTCTCACCGTCTCTTGCTGATCCCTCTGCCTGGGATCCTCTCCCCTGAAACAGTGACATCCCTGGCTCTGCAACCTCCTTCAACTCTGACATCTGCACCAAGTCCCACCCTCGTCTCCCAAGCTACACAGCCGACCCCAGGCCCTTGCTCTGCAATCTCTCTGTCCGCTAACAGGCTGCACACATTCTTCCCGTGACGTCTCCTGCTCACTGCCCGTCTCTGCCAGAAAGCAAGGTCACCACTGCAGAAAGCTCATCTGTTGTTTTTCAGCAATATATCTCAAACGCCAGAGACAGAGAAGTATCTCAATCAACGTGTGTTCAACAGCTGCATGAAGATACGCTCCACACCCACTGCTCCAAAGTGGCCTGCTGGCTTCGGCAACACGTGTCCGTAGTAACCCCGGCGGTCATACGCTGGAAAGGACCACGAGCGCACACATGGTTCTCCCACTAGAGAACAATGACCTCTGCGGCCCCTGAAATTTAGAAGCTGCTCAGTGCTTTCCACCACATCATAAGAGGTACAAATTCTTGAGTAACTGAGCTCGGCCCATCGAGCGGGCGCGTGTCTGGGGGGCGGGGCGCAGCAGAGAAGCCAAGCCGTCCTCACGGACCTGCTCGTGAGCACGGCCTGGCCACGGGAGCCTGCGGCCTTCCGACAGCAGAAGAGACACGTACCTTGGACGGGCGTCACCACCGCCCCTTTGAAGTGGGGGTTGATGTGTATGTTCTTAGGCTGCTGCGGGGTCACGGGGGGCGGGGTCAGCATCCCCCTCGGGGCCTCCATCTGGGGCGGCACGTGCACCCCCGGGGGCGGCGAGGCGTGGTGCGGGTGCTGCAGGGGGAGCAGGGGCTGCAGCTGCTGCTGCTGGAACAGACTTCGGATGGGCTGCTGCTGCGCGGGCGGAGGCGGCGGCGGCGGCGGCGGCTGAGGCTGCGGAGGGGGCATCAGTCTTGGAGAGTGCGTCTGAAAACCACGAAAAAAGAGAGACAAATTCGCAGAAATCAACATTCAGAAGAAGAGTAAGGGAAGGCTGCCGCCTTTACAGACTCACGCTGGCTCGAGAGTACGCGAACGGCTGAGAAGTACGTTCCCAGCGACAGCCTGGACGAAACCGCGGGGCCGGCAAGCCGCACTGCCCGTTCCCAGCGAGCACCACTGCCTCACACTGGGACCCAGCCTCAGGGCAGAGAGGGAAAAATCGTGGCCTCAAAATAATGCGCACGGATGCCAAAGGTTTAAAAACTCTCGGTTCAGTCAACCAACCTGCCCAGAGCAAGCCAAGCACCGCGCTGCAGGCAGAGCCCAAGCTGCCCTCGGCCCCCCTGCAGCCAGGCCTGCTTCTCCTCCTCGGAAAACCAGGGAAGAAAGCCGGGATGGGCACAAGCAGCCGTGCCGGACGCCAGGCCTCTGGGAAGAGCCTAGCTCTCCCCCGAGGGGGTGGGAGGAGGAGGCGGGGAAGGGGCAGAGACACACCTGCTGGGGAAAGCAGGACAGCAGGTGGCCACAGCCATGGAGACAGAAGACGGACGGAGGCAAGGGTGTGAAAACAGACACTCGAAGCCGTCAGGGGTCCTGGGGTGGTCCGGTCAGACAACATTCCCGAGGGGAGGGAGGCGGCCACAAGCGCAGTGCCCGCCGAGCGCAGGGCCACCCCGCGTCGTTAAGCACCCATCGCATGGTCCGAGTGCAAAGTAACTGGCTTCCCCCTGACAGTGCGCTGAAGGGGGTCCTCGTGACGACCCTGCTTTTACAAATCAGGCAGCTGGTAAGCAGAAGCCCTGGGAGTAGAACGCAGACCACCTGATTCCACTAGTCCTGCTCGCGGCCGCGCCTGAGACCGGCCGCACGAAGCAGCAGAGGCGGGGCCGCACGACAGACCACGTGGTCCAACGCGCAGGCCACCTTCCCTGCCAGAGCGCCAAACGACAGAGGCTTCCCAACTCCAGGGCTGCCGCAGGACCCGTCACTCCGGCACACAGCACGGGTACGAAGAGGACTTACGGCCGGTGACGTGGCGGACGGAGTTGGCAGCGACTGAGACAGACCACTCAGCAGACCGCGGCAAGGGCTGAATGGAAGAAACGGCCACGGCTGGACCAAGAGCAACAGGGAAAGAGACATTTCAGAGACACAAAGAGAATTCTGAAAGCAAACGGTCTATGGCCTTGGTCTCAGAGAGGACTTTTCCAGAGATTCCAGGGTCAGCCTACATCCACGGCTACGTATGCTCCGATAACCCCGTGTGTTCCCTCTTCTAACTCGTGGCAGGTGAAACGTGCACCTCTGCATACGACAGTTAAGGATCCTGTCTTATCACCACAAACAGAGGGTCATCTGAGTCAGATCTGAATTGAACTTACAGCGAACTCAATGCAGGGTCATCCACTCAAGAACACAAAGGCGTTCTAAGGGAACCCTGTGTTTGAAACAAGTGAGGTTTGGGGCTGTAGACCACCCGTGTGCAGAGGCACGGGACAGCCAGAAAGCACATGGGGAACGCAGAGCTGGCAAGAGGTGAGGGCTGGAGACTCAGACTTGCACAGAGAGGGCCGGAGGCAGGAAGGCGATGCCCCCACCGCAGGAGCTCTAACCCAAAGGAGGGCTGACAAGAAGGCAGCTGAAGGAAACAGAGGAAGGAGAGCACAGCACAGCCCTACGTAGGAGAGGCTCAGGGCGCAGGAGGTCAGGGTGCCCGAGGCGCCCGAGCGCGGCAGGAAGGACCAGCACAGGGGAGGCAGCGATTCTCAGAGCACCCTCAGGAAGAAGTGAAGGGAGCGGAGCCCAGGCAGCAAGGGACCAACCTAGGAGAATACACACTGATGCAAGGACGTAAGAATATTGTTCCCAGAACTCTGGAGAGTCGAGCAGACAGGCAGCTCTTGGGTGGGGAGTAACCAGGATCAAGAGCATTTGTGGTCTGAGGACAGACACAGGTGGGAGCAAGCTTAAGTTCATCTCCGACAGCTTTGGTCCTCCCAGTAAAGTGAAACTGTAAAACACCACAACTAGCAAAGGTGGGCACAGAGCTTACAGCCCAGAGCACCAGGAGGCCGAGCAGGTCATGCCACAGGCTTATCCCCAGTTCACAGTGAGCTGCAGAGCCCACCTCGGCCGGCAAACCGTCTATGGCCCAGGCCATCTTCCACTTGGCTAACAATGTTGAAGCGCTCACAGTTCCTCTCAGCCCAGCCTCTCTTGCAGGGGGCTGGCTGGGCACACCTCCTCTCTTGGTGGATAAGAAAAGTTACCCTTCCAGGATCACAGAGACACAATTACACAAAAACAGGTCCCCCCTGTGTGACTGCCCCCCTCTCCTCCAAGGCCAAAATAACCAAACTGGCTGCTCAATACATGGCAAGCGGAGGCTAGGGGTGAGGGTATGGAGCAGGGAAGAAAAAGAAGAAACGAAAGGTCCCGCCTTTCTGCTATGTGAGAAGCTTAAGAATGAAAACAGTTGCTCTACCTTATTTCACAAGTGAATGCATCCTACCATTGAATATTTCTACAAAGAGGCGAAGTGTGACTTTCCCCTAAATTCAGATAAAAATGTAGGAGGGACATGTGGTAGATGGAGACTGATTTCTAAAGGAAAAAACCATAAAATCCCAAAGCTAACCAGAAGAACATAAAAATCACTACAATTCCTTTCTTTGCTTCTGCGCTATCTCATCTTTGAAAGGCACAGGAAATGCAAATTGAGCTGAAATTCCAAGTAGATGATTATGGACAGGACAGGACAGCTACTCTACGAGAAACCGCTATACTTGAGAAACCTCTGGTAAACAGTACAAAGGAAAGACTATTTTGAAAAAACATACACCACCGCCTGGATTCTACATGTGACACAGCCACCGTTTTGAGTAGGGGTGCCCAGGAACAGCAGTCCGCTCCAAGAAGGGAGAGGACAGAAGCCAGGCTCCTCTGTGGTTCTTGTCACTTGAAGACTTAAGCCTCTTGTTACTCCCTTCTCCGTAAGTAGCTGTGTACGAAATTCTTCTTGTACTACTCGAATTCCAGGAGGAATGAATTTATAAGACCACTGGTGAGATCGCATTATAAAGAAACTTTCGCCATTATTCCTACCACGAAACCTTCATTTCAGACTAGGAGACACACACCAAGTACGAAACCCACAAAGGCACATTTTCATTTGTTTCATTTGTCCTAAAGTCTCGGACTATCACAATAAAACTAGACATTACCACGCCAGGAGGCTGCGTCGGGAGCAGGGCAGGTCTGTGATCTTTTATTCTCACTCGCTCGCTGTTCTCTCTCCTCTGGTCTCCCATTCCACGACACACCACAGAGCCTCCTCTCCTTCCTCCCCGCCTCGAGCCATAGCGCCCCTGCTTATGCTGTCGCTCTCTTTCTTCGAATTCAAGCAATGCAGCTTTGGCTTCCGCTGAAAGCTCTATTTGAAAAGATGCATATATGTTAGATACCTTCAAATAGCCTAAACTAGATTTACAGGGAAAAACAGGGAAGATACACATGAGCAGACACCCCGAAACAGCAAGTGCCTCACCCCCGGGAGAGAACTAGACTGGCGGCAGCAAGCGGGGTCCAGCCAGCGACGCTCACAGCCCGTTACGTGAACACCTGTTAAGTGACGACATGCCCCTCCCGTGTACCGCGCGGTGAGGCACAGGAGCCACGGAATCTCCACTTGAAACCACGAAAATGCGCAGAGGGAAGCTAAAAGGAAGGGGCCAGGGCCCGACTCCACACAGCCCTCACGCGGCTGCGACCCCTTCCGCGTGGCCGGCGGGCTGCGTGGGGGAGGAGCGGGCTCGGCCAGGCCCGCGCCACGTGAAACCCGTACAGGCAGGATGGGTGCGCCGCGGCACACAGACTCCAAATGAAGAAGACAGACACGTTCCTGCTCGTTCTGACGTAAACAAACTATTAATGAAAACACTCGGAAATCAATTTCCCACAATGGAGAACTCATTATCATTTCAGATTTATCAAAAAAGACCTTTACTCTGTGAAAAAAGACTTCTATCCATGCAGTCTGATATGGAAGTTGTATCGGGTGAGAGCAACGTCACAGAAGAAAAAACTCATTAATGCAAATGCTTGTGGGACACCCAGGAAATGCTCACCTCTCTGACCAATGCTTTAAGGTCACAAAAAAACACGGACTCTGGTCCTAAAAAACCTCACTTGGCACAGTATTCTTAACTCCTAAAAGAGAAAAGCTGACTTATTCATATACGGTTCCTTTATTTTAAAATATCTGAACTGTGATATCTTACATTAACAAATAGACACCTTCTAAAGGTTTCACTGAATCCCGAAAGACATTCTTACACCTTCTTCCACAGTGAAGGGCAAATTTTAAACATTACCAGTTCATCTCCTACCTTGGATTCCCTAATCATCTCCAAACTCTTCCAAAATCTCTAAGCCACATCTCATTTTCTTGATATTGTTTCTATGGTATTCCCCTCCCCTTCAAGTAAATCTAGACCCCATTCAAAAGAAAATTTAATCTCCTCTTAACAAGCACAGACTTTTACTCTAATCTTGACTACATGATTGGTTCACATACACATTTTATGCGGTGAATCAGCAATTATTTTTCCAGTGGTTCTAAGTGTCAAGATTAATTTCACTATCCCCAGTAATAAAATGGTTTCAAATGACATCTTTAATCAGCAAGTAAAAATGCTTTCCTCCAATTGAGACAAGCTGTCACAAAAGGTCACCAAAATATGACAGGATGGAAATTACATTTGTAACTTCAACTGAAATGTTAATTTCCTCTTAAGTGTTTTCTGAACTATGTCCATATTCTAAAGTAAAAAGATATAGCTCAATGTAACAAAGTTTTACACTGTATTGTCCTTTTCTAAAACGTGCTTAAGAAAAACATTTGCATACAAATAATTTTTATAATAGTTGGACTAATAACAATGAATAAATATTTAGAGAATACACAGCTTATTTGGCAAAATAAAAATAACAAATGGTAGTCTGAATTTTTTTTTTTTAACAAGAGAATTTGAATCAAGCAATTTGTAAAAAACCTTGCTCGTAATACAAGCACCACTGCGTAAACTGAAGGGCAGGATCCTCTCGCTGCCACTATCAATCTTGAACTGTTTATTACTAGATGAAAATATTCTTCCCACAGATCCTTGGCCTTAAAAACAAAATTAACTAAGGGTATTATGCGGACATGATAAGAATGTTCTTTAGGTTAAAGCAGTAAAATACAACTTAACATATTACATGGGCCAATGAAATTTAGAGTATTGCAAAATCTAGATGCCTACTCATAGACTAATGCATAAAAAAGGCCTAACCTAACATGAATGTAGTCTTTCAGGTACTGCACGTACTGCTCTCAAAGAGAATCTCAGGTCCACCTCCTAGGGCCAAAGAACCCACAGCTCTGAACTTCTGTGCTGAGACTTTAGAAAAACCAGTCACTGACACCTACTTTTTAGAGATGGCTTTTGACATTTCCATTCAAAATACATCACCCCCTTACACAAATCAGTTCTAGAAACCCTTCTCAGCTGGGTTCCACAGGAGAGTTAAGCCCTTAAACCCCAAGGCATCCCCTGAACAGAAAGAACGAATCTATCTGCTAAGCATGTGGTTTTGTACCACCCCCAGGGAAACTGAGAAAAAGTCACATTTTCTGAAAGGCTTAGTTCCCAGAATGCTGGTTGAGCTCCTTACTTAAGATCTTAACCTACATGAAAGCCCAAAATTCTACTTGAATTCAAAATACACATCAGCAACTGTGTACCAGGTTCTGTAGCTGTATACAAATCCGTGGTCGGCCCACTGAAGGACAGCGTCCCCAGTGTGAATTTGGGAACACCTAAGAGAGACCCAACAACACCCTTGTAGGTTCTGAAGGGAACTCACTACCCACATGCAGACCAAAGGGTCAGGAACGGGGGATGCCAGAGCATGATTTCAGTCTTCTTTTTAAAGAGTGGAAGGTTCTCAACATTAATCGATGATATAACAAAACCATTTTTATTTGTATTCAAAATGTTAAAAGACATCATTTGTCAAGAAATACATAACATATGAGACGACGTAGGGACTCTGGTAGCAAGATATTTTAATCCCATTACAAAAAGTGGGTAAACAGCTTTATACAGTCAAATAAATCTAAGTATTTCTATACAGAACCTGAAACTGACATCTCTATCACCAGGAGCATACAAATAAACTGATGGGTAACACTTATGCAGATTTCTAGTTTACCAAATACTGTAGCAGCTTCTCTTTCTCAATCAATATTTTCTTATATGTAAAACTAACCTTTTGTTGGTGGGTGGGAGTGGGATCAGGGTAATAAGAGTGCACTGTTTTAGGAAACCAATCTGTAAATGGACAGAAAAATCCTTTTTGTACTGGGAATAAGCCTAACTTTGAGTTACTAGAAAACTCAGGTTTCAAACACTAAGCTTGCTTATGTCAGGGCTCACTCATATGGAGCAGAGGAAGACACATTTAAGCACCATTTCCACTTGCCCTATTACCTGGCCAAATCTGCACGAATGCATTATTTCTTAATGTTTAAAAGAATGGCAAATGTCCAAACTGTTTATGCTTACAGCCCCTCTGCCTCCAGACTCTCTTCCCTTGTATTTAAAGGCTCCGGCTTGCCTACCACTAACCCCTTCCAACCTCTTCTCTCAGAAGGTACAAATGACCCTGAAAAGAGCAAAATGAGGCAAAGGTCCTGAGATGTAGGAATGGAAGCAACACGGATGATAAACACAAGCAGGAGGGACACCTCAAGATGTGCTGTCAGTGCCTGGGGCAAGTACAATGCACAGAGGAGATGACCCCAGCTCAGGACAGGAGGTGGGCAGAGGCCTCGAGGTTCAGGGGAAAGTGACCTCCACCCTGGCCTAGAGGGAGCTGGCTACAGAAGGGAGAGGCCCTTCTTGGTGTTTGCCAAGTGATTTCACATCCTTAGAACCTGTAGCTACCCCAGTTATTATGGTTTGATATATCAAGTTCCCCAACTTATGTAACAATGCCACAGCCGGGACAAAACCACCGAAAAGTGATGAATTCATCCCCAGCCCCAACCCTATGCCGCTTCTCTAGTAAGATACTGCCCGCTGCCCTCCGCCGTTCAGCCAGGGGCACCCACTCTCCCTTGTTAATCTTACTCCAGCCCAAGCCTGAGAGGTCTGCTCCAGTATGTAATGTTACCAATTCCTCCCGCCGGAAGATACATTTTTGTTTTTTTCCCCTCCTCCTGTTTTCCCAAGGCCAACTTCAGATCCTCTTTCTTAGAAACTTATGTTGTCCTGCCTCAGACCAACAGGCAACTTTACAGCATAACTTGACTGAAAAGTCCAGGGAATTCTTGAGTCAAAAGCTAGAGGAGGAGGAAATCAGAGGGCAAAGAAGTAGACCACCAAGAGTCTAACAATCTCTCCATAAATCTCACTTAGTAAAGTAACATGGTAAGTAAGACTGGCTCACTACTGTTAATTTGTACACACTGGGAGCTTGGCGTCCTCAGGAAGAATTCACATCTGCCACTTACAGATCCGTGCTCATATTTCCAAATGAAAAGGACCAAAATAATGGTTTAAGAAGTAGTAAATGTAGTGACTGATGGGTAGTTTCTTGATTTTTATTTTGACCAAGACCCGAAAGCAGGTAAACGTTGTCCTCTCACCCACCCACCCACCCTCCTCCTCAGAATACAGTACAATATCCCCGTGGTTCTTAAAGTACAGGTTCCAGAGCAGAGGAGCAGCATCACCTGGCAGATCATCAGAAACGCAACTTCCGCGGGAACCACCCTAAACCTACTAAATCAGAAGAGCTGGGAGTGGGTCCAGGAATCTGTTTTAACAAGCCTTCTAGGCGATTCTGTTTGAGAACCACCGCTTTATGCTTTGCAATGGACGCTGGAAAAAAGAAACCACTGGGGGTAGGGTAGGGTGAATTGTGAAAAAGGCTCTCTGCTGATCAGCAACAGCCTGCTGTAGATCTTTAAAAGCAGGGTTTGCTTAGAATGATGTTCAATTGATTATGTCTATAAACAAGTCACCTTATCTCATAAAACATGGAGAGGAAATGACATCAAGAAAAAGAAAATAGAAAAACGATGGTTATAATGACACTCACAGCTACAAAATACAAATAGTCTGGTTCAGAATTAGCCCTCCAGAGGGATCAAATGGCTCTGCACCATCCCTACACCACCTTTCCAGAGCCAGCCAAGACCTGCATGGTATGCATGAGAGTAGGTCCAGGCCATCAGCTCCAAAAGAAAAAGCTATTAAAAAAATAAGCAATCAAATATTTTATTCAAACATTTTTAATCCAGAAGACAGTTATTTTTATAGAATTTATAGAATTACTTTTACAGCACCGTAACTCAGCTCTAACTTCACACAGACCATCCACTCTCTAGATGGCACAATAATCTATGAAGTCGAACTGTTTCTACCTATTTGATTCATCGTAATAGCACTATGGAGGAAGTTGAAATGGGAGTGAAGAAGGATGGGAGACAGGCAAAAAAAAGTTACCCAAAGTTTCTGGAATGTTCCTTCTCTCTCTAGTTACATCTGAGAGCCTAATAATTGTTCCTTCTTTCCTTTCAGTTTTGAAACGTAATCGTCCAGATTCTTCATCATCATCATCTTCTTCATCTGATTCTTCTTTTATGTCCTTCTGTAGTTCCAAAGTTTCCATACCTCCCTACAATGCAGACATACAAAACAAAAAGGGAGGGAGACTGAGTTCACATTCTTTTGATTTAAATACTGAAGCGTGATTTTATATATACATATATAAAATCACATATATAGAAAGGTTCTTTATATTTAAGATGTAAAGATATTGAAAATGTTGCATGACAAGGCCATGTAAAACACTAAACTGATTCCAGGAACAAATAATCTCAAACATTAAAAAAAAGTTAGAAAAAGTTCAATTCCTGCTTGTAATTAATATACAATATATACTGTTGTTACTTATACTTCTGAGAGAAGAAACATGAATTTTTTTTTTTCCTATTTAAAAAAAATTTTTTTTTAAAGTAGGCTCCATGCCCAACTTAGGGCTCAAACTTACCACCTCGAGATCAAGAGTCGTATGCTCTACCAACTGAGCCAGCCAGGGGGCCCAAGAAACATGAATTCCAAAAAGATCCTGCTGGCCTCAAGTCTGATCCAGATTCCAGCAAAATTCAATATATTCATTAAACTAACACTGGAGTTCCATGAGTTATATAACTTATATTCGATGAGAGCATACTCCTTCCTGTCACATACGCCCAACACTTCCAGAAACTCCTGACCTCATCTACCATGATTTTTATTCTAGACACACACCAAACCTGCTGTTAGGTTGGTTGGTTTCTTCAGACTCCAAAATCTTTCCTCACTCACTCTTACCCTCTCCTTTATTCCACTGTCCAGAGTTCATGCCATCACTGCCTCTGGCTAAGAATACTGCAACAGCAAACTATTCTTTTTCAGTCACACTAAAACCAGCTTTTATCTTTTATTTTATTACGTCAGCATTCCTACAAAAATAATGCCTAATCTTGTCCCAACTAAAAGTAATTTCTTCATCAACAGTTCTTACTTTACCCCTGATGTTCCCTTTGATACTGACCACTTTTCCCCTTGTACTAGGTCTTAGTGGCCTCCTGCGAGATAAGATAGGGACTTATGAGCGCCAAGTTCATTTAAATACTTTTTGTACATGTAAAGAAAACAGAATTTGCCCCTTTATTCTCGTAATTCATAATTTTAAATGTCCTTTACTCTTTAGAGAAACAAAGATGAACTACTTTATTAAAAAATGCACAAGGAAAAATTTAACATAAACCAAAGATACAACTGTTCTGTATTCTTTTCCCAACATTTTCTGCGCAAAAAGATCAACTACAAATGCACATACTCATTGCTATAAATACTTCAAGTCTCTCACATCTTCAGGGGTTCAAATGCCTGAAGATAAAATGATGAATGTAAACTAGATTTTAAGCCTAATAACTATGATACCACCGCCTTTCAGTATTCTGACATTTAGTCTACCACAGAATTTTACAGTACCAAAGTCTTGGCATTTTGTTGGTTTGAGATCATTGTTTCTGTCTTACTGAATATCTGAAACCAAAATGAGTAACATATATGATGGACCCAGCTAGGTTCATGCTGTACTACACTCAAACAAAGGTAAACTCCTTTACAAAGTACTCTTCCCCACTTCCATAATGCTCCAAAGCAGTGCTTCTCAAATTTAATGTTCATACCCATCACTGGGAATCCTGTTAAAATACAGATTGTGATTCTACAGGTCCATGGTAGGGCCTGAGACTCAGCATTTCTAACACGCTGGTCCAGAGACCACACGTTTGAGTAGCAAGACCACAGAGGAAGAAAAGAAATGGCTACCAATAAAGCAAAGATTCTACTTCCTACAACGGTCATTTCTAATTCAACCATTAACAATAATTTCAGTTCAAAGTCCTTCCAAGCAAGTTTAACATGAAACATGAAAGGCTGAAATTAATAAAGCTTATTTTGCATCCAAATCTCCATTTAAGAAATCTAAAGAGGACGAGTTGAAAATTGTTTCTTTGAAACAAATACTACAACCCACCAGAGACAAACAAATCCAGTCTATGACCCAGCAATCGATTGCATTCCTAGATATTTACCGAAGAGAAATGATCATTTATGTTCATGTAAAAAACCTGTAGGAAAATATTTACTGCTCTCTTTTGGATCACCAAAACTGGATCAACAGTAAGTGAATGGACACATAAACTGGATCCATCCAGTGCTGATGAGCAATAACACAGAATGAGCCATTGATACACACATGGGATGAAATGGCAAATGCCATGTGGGATGAGAGAAGTCAATCACAATACACTGCCAAGAGTCCATTCACAGGACGTTCTCCAAGAGAAAACATCATACTGGTTGCCAGTGATTAGAAATGGAGGGAAGGCAGGACTGCAAAAGGTAGTTTTTTGAGCAATTCAATTCCTGGAATGCAAGCTTCCAGTCTAAGTCTCAGAGTCCAGTTAAGCCTTGAACTACACGAAGGACTACACAAGCCCAGAACTCACACCAAAGCAGGGCCAGGCCTCACTTGCCTCAACTTCAGCCTACTACTTGACAACCTTCACTGAGCTAGACTCACGCCTTCAGGCACTGATTACTAAACACTGGGCTCAAAAAAAAAAAAAAAAAAAGCATCTCTTTTGGCCATATGATTTACAGAATCAAATAACCTATCTGCCAAACTGCTGACTTTCTCCACAGTTTTTAACAAGTACTAGCTAGTATTCTATTCACAAATAAAGCTCCATTGAAGGGCAGTGTCAGTGACATAAAAATCAAATTATCCTAAGATTCTATTTTGTAAGAAGTTAAGTATGTGTGTATATCCGTGATCTCATTATTAGGCTTTGCCAAAAATACTCAAAGGCTTGATTTTTAACTACTTAATTATCTAGAAAACTTGAAGATGTAATTGTAATTCTTAACAGAGGGTACACATGAAAACCATCATGAAAGTTCCTTAAAAATGGACAACTCTATCAAAATCTTCTCACATACAGTTGGACCCTTGAACGCAGGTTGGAAATGCACAGGTCCACTTATATGTGATTGGGGGGGGGGGGTAAATACAGTACTGTAAATGTATTTTCTTTATGATTTTCTTAGTAACATTTTCTTTCCTCTAGCTTACTTTATTGTAAGGATACAGCATATAATACATATAACATACAAAATAGGTGTTAATCGACTATTTCTATTATCAGTAAAGCTCCCGGTCAACAGTAAGCTCTTAGTAGTTAGGTTCTGGGGAGTTAAAAGTTACACGCAGATTTTCAACTGAGCGGGGACCAGTGCCCCTAACCCCAGCGTTGTTCATGGGTTAAAGGTATACGTAAAGAATTAGAAAGTCTAAGGGGAAGCAAGACCTAGACCTGCATATATTAAGTTCTCCAGATAATTCTGAAATGAACCTGTGATTTCAGCGTTTTAAATGAAAATTCAGTATTCTTTCCCAAACCCAAGGGGAAAAAAACAGGTAGTTCTCTGAATCGGGGCGGGGGGGGAGGGGCATAGAAAACAGTTTTAAAAAACTTCCCCAAAATTTTTAATGCTTACAGAATATTTAATAAGAGAATAATTCTTTATTATACCATGAAATACAAATCAAATACAAACATTAATTCTACCAATAGTGAAAATTTAGGGGCACCTGAGTGGCCCAGTCTGTTAAGCATCTGACTCTTGATTTCGGCCCAGGTCATGATCTCAGAGTCCTGAGATTAAGCCCTGCATGAGGCTCCGCACACATCAGGGAATCTGCTTCAGATTCTCTCTCTCCTTCTCCCTCTGCCCCCTCCCCACTGCTTGCTCACTCACACTCTCCCCGCTCTCTCTCTCCAAAATAAATAAATCTTTTTTTTTAAATAGTGAAAATTTACAAGTTTGAAAGGTGGAGCAATCAAATTGCACAAAAATTCTAAGAAAATTACAGACCATTATTCTTCATAAATACAGACACAAAATTCCTTTAAAAAATAAAAGCACATGTAATCCAGCAAAACATAAAAAGGAAATATATCACAACCAAGTGAGGTTTAGCCAGAAGCACAAAGTTGATTTAAGATTCAAAAAAAAAAAAAAAATCGCTCTTTCTGCCCTCTTTCCATGCTGCCATAATGGTGCACATGAATGTCCTGGCAGATGCTCTCAAGAGCATTTCTCTGTGTGTGTGGCAGTTTTAAGTTATTAGTTTTTAAAATCAGTACTTTTTAATGGAAACAACTTGACCAAAAATCTGTCACAGAATTTTGAGACCCATTAAAACAAAAGTTTAATGAGAAAAAAAACAATGCTGAGAAGAGAGGCAAACGCCAGGTTCTTCTTAGGCGGTGCTCCAAAGCCATCGTCCAGTTTCTCACTGTGATGATGAAGCACGGTTACACTGGCGAATCTGAAATCACTGATGATCAGAGAGGGGAAAACTGTTGTGAACCTCACGGGCAGGTTAAAGTGTGATCAGCCCCAGATTTGCTGTAAAACTGGAAGATCTAGAAAAATGGCAGAATAACCTGCTCCCATCCTGCCAGTTTGTTTTCACTGTACTGACAACCTCAGCTGGCACCATGGACCATGAAGAAGCAAGACGAAAACACACAGGAGGGAAAATCCTGGGATTCTTTTTCTAGGGATGTAACAGGCAGGAAACTTTGTGCGGTGTCACTGTGAGCACCTCCAGCTGGATTAGTGCCATTGGAATAATAAATTTGATATGGTAGTGGAAAAAAAAATAAGGTTCAAAAAATCAATTTAACTTTCTTACAGAAAAATTCCAAATACATGTAGGTAGCACCCCTGCCCCCAAACCCTCCTCCAGAGGTGAAAGTCCAGTCCTTCCCCCCTTGCTTTAACGGCAGACTACTAGGGACTTGCTTCTAAGGAATAGAGCACAGAAAAGGAAAGACCACACTTTACAGACCTACTACCTGCAATTGGCAAACAGGATACGACCACATCATCAAGAACATTGCCAGGGAGGTTCTATACCCAGTGGTATGATGGATGAGAAGGGCACCGAACCTCTGTGGCGTTCCAAAACCCATAACCCCAGTGTAATCATGAGGAAAGTATCAGACAAGCCCAGACTGAAAGACATTCTATAGGATACGTGGCCAGTGC